TATATATATATATATATATATATATCCTGAAATATGGGCACCAATCCTCCACCAGATGTGATAATAAAACAAAAGATAATCTCTAATCTAATTAAATAACATATAACAACAAAATAATGATGATTCAAGAGGATCTTAATTTGGATGCATATGCTGATACGTGTGAGTGCAGGGGTATTCGTCTATGTATATGGAGGGAGATGTAGGTACATATAAATATTAGGATAGGTATGCGTAAGGTGATACACACATACATAGGTATATAGGCCAACCTATATATAATCATGACATATTATTCAGCGTATCCAATCTTGGGATCCCTAATACTTCATATAAGGGTACATAACTTAATCGAAAATTATAATAGGTAGAGACGAAAGGGTCACTTAAAGCTAGCGCAAGTGTGTATGTAATTAAATGAAGATATCTGAGTGTGCGTTTGGACAGTCATCTATACGAATAGGTATTATTGGCGTGGAGAAACGCATCCGCTTTCGTTAATTTCCGAGAATTCCCGGCGAAATAAAAATTTAAATGTGTGACCATTAGGATATAGGTCAGCCCATCGGTCTTCCACTGCCCCTCTTCCATTCCAAACTCTCCGACCTCCATAATATGATTCCAGTAACGATGCCTTCTTCTTCCCCACCTCAACTCTCAAGAGGTATCCAACAGTACACTATAAGCTGATACCAGAAACAGTTTGAAAAATCCTGCGAATTTCAAAATTAAAATTCCTAGGTGAAAATTGTCATTTACTAAAGGTATCGTAATTCCAAGTGTAAAATATATATATATATATATATATATATATATATATATATATATATATATATATAAGGCAGGATGTGTGTGTGTTTTGACGAATGTACGGCCGCAATTTTCGACGGATTTGCATCAAAATTTACATGCACATGCTCCAAGTTAGCGGGAAGGCCAAGACCGACTCCCATCGATAGTGAAAATAATCGATATTTTCATGCTTCTATGGCAGTTTTCATGTAGTTTGCGGCCATTTTCTACTGGCCAGAGTGAGAGCCTATAGCTGGCTGCTACGAATAGGAAGGAAGATTCTATTGGCCAACGTGAGAGCCAACAGCTGACTGACACGAATGTTAACTAGCATGCCAAAAAAATCGATAGCTGCATTCGTCACAATTGGGAAAAATTCAAATCTGCATGACACTTTACTCCAATTGGCTCATTCGCTTGCTTAAACGCAACGTTGATTCTGATTCCTCAGAACTGGGTTGGATGTGAAAAATTATTTGTTGTTACCATTCTTTTTTCATTCGATTTTTACAGTTACGAGTCCTTTTTTAAAGCTGATCGTTTTGTGTTCCTTTTGTTTAGTTCTTTTTTCATAACAGATTTAATGTTTAGTATAGAGCTTAGAAAAATTCGCAGAGATAGGCAAGAAGTAAGGCATATAGCAGCATCAGCACGGCAAAGGGCACTCCTTTAAAGGCAAGGAAGGGCAAGAATATTTTTAAGTCAAGTGATAGCGATTGCTGTATGAAACATACGATTTTTGAATCAAGCAGGGGCAACGCCGGGTCATGCTGCTAGTATATATATATATATATATATATATATATATATATATATATATATATATATATATATATAAAGGCTTAATCACTAGTACTACATGGTCATAATTTATTACATTGGAATCGTAAATAAGATCCAATTCATCCGACCGACAAATTCAAAAAGAATTCAGAAAAAATATAGATCTCCGGAAATAAAAAAATATGAATACGTAGGTCTGATGAATTGGATCGTGAATACGATTCCAATGTAATAAATTATGACCATGGAATATTAGTGTTTAAGCCTTTTTATTATATTCTTACTCTGTCCTGGACATTGAGTTCTACCTGGATTCTATCCGCTTGGGAATTTATATATATATATATATATATATATATATATATATATATATATATATATATGCATGTATGTATATATAATTGTGTGTTTTAGATATATGTATGTGTATATTAACCACTAATATATATATAGTATTTACATTAGTCGGACTATTGTCCTCATCTTTGTCGCCATATTTGTCACAACGTTTCGGCCGTTGTACGCTCCGGCCTTCTTCAGGTGGTTGGAATTTCGAACTGAACCCTTTATTTCGATCGCTGGGGTAGACTGTTCTAATTCCACGTGCCATGTTTGATGGATGTCAGTTATCAGTTATCTCCTGCTAATTTTCCCTCTGAAAGTTCTCCACTGCCTTAACCAGGAATTGAACTCACCTTCTTTGGGTCTGTCACTGGATCTAACCAACGCCTTTATAATGTAAATACTGTACATAATACCTCATCTCAGAAATATAGACAAACTCTAATATATATATATATATATATATATATATATATATATATATATATATATATATATATTTAATTGTTATATATTGGGTCGTTTTTTTTTCTGATGTTCTAATGATCACAGAGAATATTTCGTATCAGCTTTTTGCTTCTTATAACTCTGGTCATCCTGTGAAACTGCTGCCTAACGTTCTTCAAGTTTTATTTTAGATTATAGAAACCCCATTTGATATGGAATACCAAGTAGACAAGAATGAGCACGTTCAACATCACTTTGTTTTAATCACTGTCACGAAGTTGCTCGAGACATTTTCGCTGTGTACGAAGACGTAGATGACTTCATTGTCGACAGAATGTCGCATAAATTGTTTTCCCGTTTCAAGAAATGGGGATGATCGAACTCACACATTCTCTGCGTTCTGGCCGACCTGTTCAGTTTGATGAGAAACAAACGGACGCGTTAATTGAAGTTCTCCTCATCGCCAGTGCTAATGGCAATATTACGCGTTTCCTTATGTCGAAACATTCGGCATTCTTTGGCCGTGCTACAGCTGGTTCAAATTCCTAGAATCTTTCCATTAAAACTAATTTTCGGGTTACACATGTCCATTAACTCTTACCGCTCTTTTCAGAAGAAATGGGACTTCACTCTGCTATTTTGTTAGAAGTATTGTGGAAGGTCAAAATCTTGATTATGTCATTGTTTTCATATGTTGTGATCTGTAGCGCGAGTTCACAAGAATATTCACAAGTATTGTCTAAGACGCAGATGACTTATTTGTTCCGAGAATGCGTTTGTTTACAACTGCCAGTTTAGATATTTCTGAATGATTCTGGGGCTAGTAATGTCATTATGAAAATCATATTCTGACGTGGTTATTTAAGAGCAGTGATTTATTCTAATCTTAAATAACGCATGTCGCTAATTTTTCTAACTGCTCTACTTCATATTTCGGTACCACTACGGTAACGTCTTGAGTAAAATTACTTCTACGAGTTTTAACACGTGAATGTTTCACGGTTTTCCTATTTTAATATTCTGGTGAATCTAAATTCTTTCTCTTAAATGATTGAGCAAGCTCATATCGAGTTCTATGACAATAAAATATCTGTAGAAATTCCCTATCTCATCGTTAACTATTTGAGCTTAACAACTTTAACAAAATATTGCAATAACAATCATAAATATGAATGCTGGTCATTATTTTAAGAAGTAGGGGGGTACAAATGAAAAGATTTGAAACTGGCAACATTTCCATTTCACTGAAGCAGCCGTTAGACATTTCTGTCTTTCTTTCTTTTTTTTTTCTTTTTTTTCATTCGTATGTCTTGATTTTCTACACAATCAAAATGGAATAATTCAGTATTTGTGCGGTATTGACAGGGGACGCTTGTTTTCTTGCTTTCCTTCATTTACCCTTTCTTTCTTTCATTCATCCTTTCCTTCATCCATTCGTTCATTCATTAACTATTTCTTTCTTTCATTCATTATTTCTTTGTTTCATCATTTCTTTCTTTCATTCATCCGTTCTTTCTTTCATTCATACTTTTTCATTCATTCTTTCTTTCTTTCGTTCAACTTTTCTTTCATTCATTCATCCTTTCTTTCACTCATTCATCCTTTATTTCATTCATTCATTCATTCATCCTTTCTTTCATTCATTCATCCTTTATTTCATTCATTCATTCATCCTTTCTTTCATTCATTCATTCATCCTTTCTTTCATTCATTCATTCATTTTTCTTTCATTCATTCTTTCATTCATTCATTCATTTTCATTCATTCATTCATTCATCCTTTCTTTCATTCATTCATTCATCCTTTCTTTCATTCATTCATCCTTTCTTTCATTCATTCATTCATCCTTTCTTTCATTCATTCATTCATCCTTTCTTTCATTCATCCTTTCTTTCATTCATTCATTCATCCTTTCTTTCTTTCATTCATTCATCCTTTCTTTCATTCATTCATTTATTCATCCTTTCTTTCATTCATTCATCTTTTCTTTCATTCATTCATATTTTCTTTCATTCATTCATCTTTTCTTTCATTCATTCATATTTTCTTTCATTCATTCATCCTTTCTTTCATTCATTCATTCATCCTTTCTTTTTTCATTCATTCATTCATTCATCCTTTCTTTCATTCATTCATTCATTCATCCTTTCTTTCATTCATTCATTCATTCATTCATTCATTCATCCTTTCTTTCATTTTCATTCATTCATTTTCATCCTTTCTTTCTTTCATTTTCCTTCATTCCTTCATCCTTTCTTTCATTCTTTCATTCATTCATTTTTCATTTATTCATTCATTCATCCTTTCTTTCATTCATTTCTTTCATTCATTTTAACATTTCTTTCCTTTCATTCATCCATTCATTCATTTATTCATCCTTTCTTTCTTTCATTCATCCTTTCTTTCATACATTCATTCTTTCTTTCATTCATCCTTTCTTTCTTTCATCCTTTCTGTCTTTCATCCTTTCTTTCATTGATCCCTCCTCTCTTTATATTCATTCATCATATCTTTCAGTCATTCATCCTTTCTTTCTTTCTTTCTTTCTTTCTTTCTTTCCTTCTTTCTTTCTTTCTTTTCTTTCATTCATTCATTCATCCTTTCTTTCATTTTCATCCCTCCTCCTTCCTCCCTAA